GGATTCGATAATATCTACAATACATGGAAACTTGTCAGTTTACCACTCGGATCCAAATCTATTGGATGTAAATGGGTATTTAGGAGAAAATATAACGTTGATAGCTCTCTAAATACTTTTAAGTTTACATTAGTAGCCAAAGGATATCGACAAAATGAAGGAATCGACTATTTTGACATATATGCACCGGTAGTTAGAATAACATCAATTAGGATATTATTCTCATTAGCTTCAATACATGACTTGCGCGTTCATCAAATGAATGTCAAGACGACCATTCTTAAATGTAGATCTTGATGGGGAGGTATATATGGAACAACCCGAAAGATTTGCCCTACCTGTTAATGAGCATAAGGTACGCAAGTTGGTGAAATCGCTATACGATTTGAAACAGGCACCTAAGAAATGGCACAAGAAATTCAACTTAGCAATCATATCATTTGGTTTTAAGCATAATAATGTAGATAAATGCTTATATTCTAAAGTATGTGATAATTATGTAATATTTATTTGCTTGTATGTTGATAACATGTTGATTATGAGTAACCACATGGACGGAATAGTAGAAACGAAGAGGTTTTAATCTTCTACATTTAAGATGAAAGATCTTGAATAGGTAGATTTCATTTTAGGTATCAAAGTCTCAAAGACTAATAGGGGTTACCATTTAAGTCAATCACATTATATTGAGAATATGATAAACAAGTTCAAATATTTGAACTTAAAAGAATGTAGTACCCCAATTGATCCATGTTTTAAGTTAATAAAGAATGATGGAAGGACAATTGCTCAATTGAAATACGCAAGTGCTATAGGGAGTCTTACGTATGCAGTATATAATGCCCCGAATTTTATCGACTTAAATATTAGGGTGTTACACATATCATTTCATAAATATACTTGAAGCAGAAATATTTAATTGGAGACTGAAAACACTTAATTTATTTGAAAATAAAATAACAGTATCATAGAATTTAGAGCTTTAAATAAAATTAAAGAAAAGCAAAAAAATTATAACATTTCATACCATCATTTCATCAAGAGCAATTGGTGATCAATCAAATACTCTAACACATTTGAGAAGACCCGAAGGAGATCTCACATTTCATTTCATTTCATTTCATTTCTTTGGGACTTGTAGGTCAATTAGCATTTCATAAAATAAATCACGTAAAAAAATTTATAATATCGCATGGACACTCAACTTACACAAAGTATCCTACCTCATTTGATCAAATGAATTTTGAAAGACGAGATCCAAGAATCATATTCCAAATTTTTATTTTCTGCCTACACAATTGTTTGCCTTGTATGTACATATATTAGATGAAAATAAAGGGGCAAGGGAGCTTGGTAGAATATGAATACAATAGAGGTTTGTGCTAAATTTAAAGAATGAAACACAAACTAAAGAGGTGGGGTTCCTGCCAAACGTAGGTGCACGTCATTAGTATTTATAGGCAACATAAAATAGTTTATTAGGGTAAGGATTGTATTGAGATAAATTGTTTCTAGCCAAAATTGCAGCAAGAGGATTGGAAGAGACATGCTAGCAAAGTGATAGGATTAAAACAAAAATAAATTGCATTGTATATAATAAAAAACTACTTTGCCAAGTTATGTAAAATGCACGTTTACACTAATAGAAGAAAAGCTCTTTTTTTTTCTTTTTTCTTTTTTCTTTTTTCTTTTTTTTTGCTATAGTGGATGTCAAATTTGAAAGGCAAAAGTGGATATGATTCAATCATTTTCAAATTATAAACGTGATTATTATATAATAAAATATTATAACATCATGCTAATTATCTTAAGAGATGCAACCTCTTGCTAATCACGTGTACACATAGGAGAAACTAACTTTAATTGGGATGTTGAATCTTTTGTCGAAGGCCCAAAATTGTGCCTTACCATTAATCTAGTATATTATGAAAAATTTACTTAATGTAAAGAGACTTTCATGGGCATGACTAAATATAATCTACCCAAAAATATAGCTAGTCGTAAATGCGAGAAATATTAAATAAGTCACAAGCATTTCACGTTAAAAAATATATATAATTAGTCACAGGGAAATTGACTATATCGAATAAATAATAGATGCAACATTGATGAGATTAATATAGAAAGACATGATAATTTCGCGAACAAAGCACGTGGTGTTACAAAATCCTAACCCTTAAAATAAATTTATTCTAATATTTTCGGGGCGTTACAATGGAGTGTTACACAGTACAATGCACAAGACCAAATATAACCTATGCCATACGTAGTAGGTTTACTAGCAGTCCGAGCAATGATTATTGGAAGATCATTGGGAGAGTTTTTGGATACTTAAAGAAAATCAAGAACTTAGACCTACAATATACCAAATTTCTAACTATATTGGAAGAACTTACCGATGTTAGTTGGATATCTAGCACGGGCAACAGTAAGTCCACTTCGAGTTGGGTGTTCATTCTAAGAGGAGGTGCCGTTTCTTGAAAATCAAAGAAACAAACATGTATAACACACTCGACCATGAAATCCAAATTTTTAGCACTATTGGAAATCGGGAAAGAGGTTGAGTGGCTTAATGATCTCTTTTATGAGATACCTTTGGGATCGAAGAACATCTCTTCAATACCTATCATGTACGATAGTCAAGCCATATTAGCAAAGATATACAGCGAAAAGTCTAGACATATGAGTTATATACATGACTACATAAGAAAATTAATCAAGGATGAAATAACTTTCCTAAATTAGGTAAGGTCAATTGAGAATTTAGCGGATCCTTTAACTAAATTACTAAATAGAGATTTAGTGGTGTCTATTTCAAGTAGGATGAGGTTGAAATTCCTAAACTAAAAAGGTTCACCAATGATGACAACCGTACCTATCATTACTCAAAAGGTAATCCACGGGTTCAAAGGGTAACAACAAGTCATTCGATATGTGGATAGTTGCAGCATTATTCAAATTCACAATAACGCCATCCTAATTAAATAATGTTGGTCGTTACTTAAATGAGGGTTGAGTTTAAAACTCTTAATGAAGTTCAGTGCTGAAACACAAGTTTCTTTAAAAGTAACAAAGGTACTGAAAGAACTTCACCTAGACTAGCTTCGAGGTGGTGCCACCTCAATTAAGAGTTTGAGTCTCTCTCCTAAAAGTTTGTCGAAAAGGATAAGCACAAGGTCATAATTGCGCTAAGCGAGTTATGAAGTACTTGATAACACATGATACTCGTATGTGTTCTTACCAGTATTGTCACAAGGAATAAATAGTTCAAAGCTTCATGATACCTTTGATTTTGACTTTACCTTGTTTGAATTACACTATAGTTAGATTCAAATCGAAAAATATCTAATCCTTATGCATTTGTTTCGTATACTTTGATTATGAGACTTTATTGAAATTGAATTAGTGGAGGATTGTTAAGAAGTGTTGTTCAAATCAATAAAGGAAGAGTTGGAATGAAAAAAGGGAACGACAGCCATGAGTATGGTCCATGTGGCCGCATGGCCATATGTAGAGAATTTTAGGCTCAGCTATAAATACACCGTATGACAACATGGAGTTGTACCATGCAGTCGCATGATACATTATTGTTACGAGACTATTTTTCACTGTAATTCCAATTTTGTGACATTTCATACATCTTTTGGTACTATTTCGAGCATATGGTCGAGGCCTATATATATGGGATCAATATTCAAGCCATTGATTTGTTGAAAACACTTGAGATTCATTCCTTATTCCGCAATCAAAGATCAAACCTTGGTTTTCATTCATATTAAATTTCTCTTACTGTGTTCTTCAAGTTTTGGAGGATTTCACTTTGTGTTTTGGTGAAAAATTATTTACAAGGTTTGTTATAATCCTTTAAACCGTTTGTCGGAATATCCTTGATTCTCTCATTACATTAGAAGAGGGTGCAAATATCGTTTGAAGACAACGATATCATGTTTGGGCTTTCAATTTTATTATTAAAAGTTTTTGGTTTTGATTCATATCCTGTTGTATGTTCTTTTGGTTTCTTCTCCATCACTCCATTGTTTCCAACAGTCTCCAACATGACTTAAACTTTGTCCAACTTAGTGATAAGCATAGTTTTAATACATAATTTGCCCTATCTTGTTTTTCTTAGTTAATCTTATCTTACTCGTATGCTTTGAGTTGGAATGGGTTAAGAAGAATTAAAGAGAAATTTGTTAACATTTTATTAGTTAAAGAATGGTTGATTAAGTTTGACATATTGGACCACGCAAGTATTAACAAATGTTTGCCAGCTTAACAAATAGAAATAAAGCACGTTGAGGATGCCTCTTGACGAGATGAGGACGTCGCTATTTTATAGTAAGGAAGCTTATACTTTAAGGCACATTATTTTCTGGTTTGAATGGGTCGTAATTGTCGAGTAATAATTTTATGTATGATTAATTTGTCAAAGGTGAGTTTAATATGCTTCTTTACTGCTCATAGCAACGTAGCACGCACGGCAATTAGTTATGTTAAAGTGGATGGACTGTCTACTAATTTCTATCTATTTTATTTTTATCCTTTTTTATTAATTATTAGTTGGTGTCTTAAATAATTGTTGGAATATAGGGACTAAAAGTGCAATTTTCATTATGAGAAGTATTAGGCATTGTTCCAAAAAACTCGCATAAGTTGCGTCTCGTTTGAAGCATGACCTTATTGTCTAATCACGCTTTACACTTTTTTTAGGTATATGCTTTGCTAGCCGTGCTTAAACTCTTAAAAAAATTGAAATTTGCTTTTTAAAATACTAATATTACGTTTCTCTATTTCCATAAAAGGGTCCTCCCAATTCTGTGGGCCCTCAATTGATATTTTAATGAATTTTAAATAATTATAAATTCTAACAAATTACATGAATTTGAATAAATTTCCTCATAATCCCATAATTCTAGTAGACTTCGTGAATTTTAAAGGATTTAATTGAAATACATTAAAATCTCAATTGAAAACACTCGAATCTAAAAGAATCCCTAAAATTGATTAAAATCTTAATCTGGAGTCCCTCATCTTCAATCATGTGTCCATCTTCACACCACCATGCAAGAAGAGACTTATCCAATTTTTGGAGTCATGGCTTCTGTCAGCAAATCTTTAAATTAAAAACCCTTGCATCATAGCCTCCACTGGAAGTACTAGTGTGAAGGTATGGACAAGAGAACGTGTTCAGCCATTCTCTTAGCTTCTGCACTGGCAATTGCATTCCAAGTCTTTGTTTTATCTCCAATATCACCTGATATGCTCCTTCTTCCAACCTCTTCAATCCCATCAAACAGCAAGTTACAGGTGAATATATAACTTACTCGTAATTCGTGTATGTGTATAACCAACGGTTGATGCTACTAGTTTCTTTTTGGCCTAATAACTAGGAAGCGAGTAAACTTGGAGAAGGGCTTTTAAAGAAACCAGAAGCCATTGCTGTCGACAAAACGGGCGTGCTTTATACGGCTACAAGAGATGGTTGGATCACAAGATTGCACAGAAATGGATCCTTGGAGAAATGGAGGCACATAGACAGCCATCATTTACTTGGAGTAACTGCAACAGCAGCTGGTGATCTTGTCGTCTGCGACGCAGAGAAGGTAAATCGTGTTGAAGAGTAACATTTTCTTAACAATTTTAGCTTTCCGATGAGGTTGTTGGACACATCTGGTGAAAGCAGTTCAGGTCTCATCTTTAACCATTTATGGAAATTGTGCACTTTTTTCTTAACAATTTTAGCTATTTGATGAGGTGATTAGACACAACATCAAATGAAAGCATTTCAAGTCTCATCTCTAAGACTCTAACCATTTAGGACTTTATTAAGGCTCCGTTTGATACTTATTTTTTTTCAAAATATATTTTTATCTCTTTTCTTTTCAACCACATATTTTTTATTAAAATAATATTATATGTAAATGAAAAAAATTTCATTATTTTTCAACCACACATTTTCCACCAATTTACTATTCAAAAATGTATTTTTACGTAAAAATGTCTCCCAAACACCCTCTAAAACTATTTGTCTTTCGATGTGGTGGTTAGACACAATATTAGGTGAAATCACAATTCAAGTTCCGCTTGTCATCATTTAAAATAAATAAATAAATTTGTGCACCTTTATGAAAATAAATATGATGTGCATGTGACAAGACATTGTAAAACCAAATTTTTAAATAAGCAAATACAATCCCTTGTTAATAAATAAAGTTCTTAGATGGGTTCATTATGCCTTATACTTCTCAAGAATTTTGTTGAGATTCTCAAGTATTTTACTCTCGTAATTATCGTGATGGCACAGGGTTTGCTCAAGGTCAGAGAAGATAGTGTCACCGTTCTTGCATCCCATGTTAATGATTCCAAAATTTTGTAAGATCCCTTGTAAATTCGATGTCAATTTTCATAATGAATTGCAAAAAAATTGATCTGCAACTTGTGTTAAACAAGCTTGTCTAGAAACTTCAATGTTAGGTAGGAATGCTTTACTCTCTCCCTCTTAATTTTTTATTTTTTTTATCAAATCATCTTTGGGACCATTTACTTTGACAATTTATAGTCTCTAGCTAATTGATGTCTATTTGAATACGCAATGAGACTCATTTTATAGTTGTCTCTATCTCTCTCTCTTATTCCAACGAGAGATATAATTGAAGAGTGAGAAGCTATTATTAAAAACAACAAAAAAGTTAAAATATTATTTATTATATGGATATTAATCTTCTGTTGTTGGTACCATCAAGAAAATGCAACAAGTCAATCCTGCATCGATACAAGTGTTGAAGCTTGGAAAGCCTCAAAAAAATTCATGTCGATCATATACTATTTAATTTAGTTTGATTAGTAGATTTATTTACCTTAATCCTCTTTAAAAAAAAAAAAAAAAGCTTTTATGGCCCTAATACATGTTTTATATTTAAAATTTATTTTCTAAAATTAGAAAAAAAAATTGTCGATTTTACATAGAGATGACAATTTGCCCCGTCCCGCCTCAACGGGGTCACGCCCCAAATGGGGCAGAAAAACTCGCCCCGATGGGTTGATGGGGTGAGCTCGCCCCGCCCCGTGAATATTAAATTTTTTCGAGTGTTTCTTTGAATATTGATGTTAATTTGAGCATTAGTTGTTTTGAATTTTTAAATTTTGAATTTGTATTTTATTATGAAAATACGTGGTTGAAAATGAGTTTGAAAAAAAAAAAATTGAAATAATAATAGACAAAAAGGGCTATGCTATAAAGTTTGAATATTTACTTATACATTATTTCAAATATTTAAAAGTTCTGCAGATGATGTGATAGAATCAGCAGATGGTACTTTGTACTTCAGCATGGCAACTACGAAATTTGAGCCCCATAATTGGCACCTTGAGGTGCTCGAGGCAAAGTCGCATGGCCAACTTGCAAAGTACGATTCTTCATCAAAGGAGACATCTATTTTGCTTGATAATCTTGCCTTTGCAAACGGTGTTGCCCTCTCAGCAGATCAAGATTACTTGGTCGTTTGTGAAACTTGGAAGTAAGTATTTTTCCAACAATAAATGCTTAATTTTTCTCAGTTTCCTCGGACAAAACTGGTAACATATTTAGTTGTGTTAGCTTCAACAATAACAAATTAAGTCCATATTTGATCTTCATTTTCTAAAATTCATTTTTCGTCAAATTTATTTTCAACAATACAATTAATTAATTTTTATCAAGATCTACTCAAAAATATATTTCTCTAGAACAAACAGGGGCTAAATTTTATTCTTAATAAAATTGACAATGGTTACATAAATCCTATTTTTCTAGTCAATTCTACTCGTTGCTATTAGATTATTTTATCCTACCACTTCCTCTTTATGACTTGTGCCTTGAGATATCAAAATATGAGGATTTGAATTATTTCTCTTAATAAGGTTGATCTTTTTAAGATGAAATATTTAATTTTACTACAGTATTAGAGCTTTTAAAGTCAAATAAATAATTTAATTCGATTAAGATTCAAGCAAGCACATGAATCTTAATATTGACGTACTCAGACGAAGCTCCTTGTCGAGGGCATGTTAATAGCTACATTAGAAGTTTACACAAGTAGATTTACCCCTTTCAGCTGTTGCGAAATTTAATGGCTTCCTATTTGTGATTTTGTGGGCAGATATAGATGCTTAAAATATTGGCTAAAACAGGAAAAGAGGGGACAAACTGAGGTATTTATTGATAATCTTCCTGGTGGGCCTGACAACATAAATCTTGCTCCAGATGGCTCTTTTTGGATTGCTGTGTTAGAGGTAAAACTCACTATGAAGCTTATCGCGGGATTGTTTAACAAATCATTTCATAAAAGTTTTCAACAAATTTTGATAAAAATTGATACAATATGCAATTAAAAATTGATAAAAATTGTGACTTCTCAATATAAATGGTTAAAATCGAAAACTGATCCATTGACAAGCACGAGGAATTATTTCAAGAAAAGCTGCAAAATTTGAAGTCAAATAACCACATAAATTTCTTGTGTTTCTCTGAAGGTTTAAAGAAATTCAAGATGAGAAAGCTAAAATCTTGTCGAACTAAACTTTCTTTTTAGAGTAATGCTATTTAATCCCATCGGGACTGTAACTCAAATTTAGGTGGCGCTAAATGATAGATTAAATGAAAGGTGGAATCAAATTATTCATTTAGTTTGACATATCATTTAATGTCACATTAACTACATAATATTATTCTTCTTTTTATTTTCCATGTATTCCTTTCCCTATTTTATTATTCGAGTAACAAATTGATCTCTAACCTTAAAAGGGGGCAAACTTGCCCCCAAACATTTTTTTAAACTTGAAATAATAGGTCCTCAATAAGCGTCATGTGACCCTCACCTATCCGACTTTATGAAGCCAAATTTTGCTTTGCAACCTAGGCTTGTGCCAGGGACAAGTTAATGAAGATGTAGTTGTAGACCAACTGTTACTCAAGTGATAGGTCACTGAAATTCACAACATAATGTTCACAATATTTATAGAAGAAAACTTTCTTCATACTCGAGATGAGATATATTGTCACCTTTACACCCCCCCCCCCTCCCCCGCAAAATGCAGCATGAGTGAGTTCATGTCTAAAATATGCGTTGAGATATTATTTTTAAGATCTCGATGACACAATAGATTCCAACTCATCATATGAAGACTTTCTCTGCTGCTGCAGGTGGTTCCTAAAAGGCTGGCATTTGTACATAAATCAAGAGCGATAAAACACATTATAGGGCGTTCCTCTAAATTAAGCAAATTGGTAACTGGTTTCTACAACAAAGCAATGGTTGTCAATGTAGCAAGTGATGGCAAGATTATACGGAGCTTCGACGATCCAACGGGAAAGGTTATGTCCTTTGTAACATCTGCACTGGAGTTCGAAAATCATTTGTATTTGGGAACTCTTAATTGTGACTTCATAGGGAAACTGCCGTTGACAACTCCATGAAAATAGCACTATTTGACTGGGGATTGCACGCATCAATAATATTGTAAAAAAGAGTGGTAAATAGTTTTGTTCCCTTGGTGCTGGTTATATTTTGTACTAAGAGAACTTTTATGTGTAGTATTAGACGAGACTAGAAGTGCAATGAACGAACTTTTATGTTGGGATGTGTTAATCCATTCTACCCAAAATGAATGAGAATCTGGAGAAAAACCTCAGATATGAAAAAGCACTTGGACCGCAACTCCACCTGTGTTTTTCCACTTTATTTCTCAAATGGAAAATACCGCATTAACAAAAAAATTCTAACAATCACTTTAATTTATAAAAGTGATTGTGACTACCGCATTAAGTGCTTATTCGATAATGATTATGAAAATTGATTTTTTGATCGTTAGAGAGAAAAGTGGGTCACCTGTAAGTGATAAAAGTCAAAAATGACTATTAGAGTAATAAAATAACAATTAAAAATTAATTTTTTTAAAGTGAAAAATTGCTATCAAACGAAATAAGTCTGTAGCTAATTGATGTCTATATGAATACGTGATGAGAATCATTTAGTTGTCTCTATCATCTCACTCTTATTCAATGATACAATAATTGAAGAGTGAGACGCTATTATTATAATAATAAAGTTCAAATATTATTTAGGGGTATTTTAAAAAATGTCTAATTTCATGGGTATCAATTGAAAAATGTCCACTTTTTAAATTTAGCATTAAATTATCTAATATGCCCTTAATGAAAAAAAAAAAAAAAAGCAATTTATTTATTTTTTCAATTTGTTGCCGATTTCGAGAAGTAACTTTTATGAGAAGTTATATTAAAATGATGTTATCGACATTTTACATGTCATTCTCGATATTTGAATTTCGTTTATATTTTAAAGTACACATGTCAAATCACAATATTAAATGTTCTCGACATTTTAAATATCTAGAATGAAATTTCATTCCGAATATGATATTTCTCTACACTTGAAATGTAGTTCTCGACGTTTCTGTGTCAATAAGAAAAATAGCATTAATTGTGATTTGATATGTGCACTTTTGAAATAAATATGACAGGTTATGTGTCAAAAATTTATTGGCTAATAAAATTTTTGAAAAAATGTCCATTTCTTATCTTTGTGAGGAATTATAAATTGTTCACGGGGATATTTTGGTTAAAAATATTTCAAAATGGACATTTTTGCAAAGATTTGTGAAAGTGGATATTTTTGCAAATGAACATGTGAAAGTGAAAATTTCAAGTAATTTCCTCTATTATATTATTTATTATACGGATATCAATCTTCTATTGAGTGCCACCAAGAAAATGCAACCATTTAGTCAATCCTGCATCCATTTAAATCTTGAAGCTTGGAAAGCTACAAAAAAATTTCATGTTGATGATATACTATTTTAATCTAGTTTGATTTGTAGATTTATTTACCTTATCCTCTTTAAAAAATATAAAAGCTTTTAAGGCCCTAATAATTTTTTTATATTTAAAGTTTATTTTCTAAAATTACAATTAAAAAAGAAATTGGCCCAGTCGATTTTACACATCTAGATTGTATTATGTATTTGGTAAAAATAAAAATAATAAAAGGCAAACATGCTATGTATTCAATTAATTTGGATTAATTAATTGTGTATTCAATTAAAACGAGTTTTAAAATAATGAATTTTCGAAGAATGTGTGAATAAAAGTAGGAAAAAGTTTTAAATGTACTTACAAAATAATTTATTGAGAGAATATGCGATTGAATATGAGTTTGAGAAAAAAATTGAAATAATGGTAGATGAACATGGCTATGTTATAAAGTTTGGATAAATGGCAACTTGCAAGAGATGATTCTTCTTGAAAGGAGATGTCTATTTTGCTTGATAATCTTGCCTCTGCAAACGGTGTTGCCCTCTCAGCCGATCAAGATTACTTGGTCATATGTGAAACTTGGAAGTAAGTTTTTTTCAACAATAAATGCTTAATTTTTCTCATTTTACTTGACAAAACAACTTATTTAGTTGTGTCTGCATCAACAATAATAAATTAAGTCCATATTTTACCCTGATTTTCTATAATTTATTTTTTTGTAAAATTGTTTTCAATCACACAATTAATTAATTTTTATCAAAATCTATTAAAAATTTGATTTTCTAGAACAAATCGAGGCTAAATTTTATTTTTAATAAATTTGATGTAGACTACATAAATCATTTTTCTCTAGTCAATTCTATTCATTGTTGAATATTGAGATGATTTGTTTATGACGGAGGGACCCGACAATGAGGCGCTCCAACATTTGGTCCCATGTGAAGGACACCGCGTAGAGATGCGACCTTCCGTTGATGAGATGGGGCTGCCAGCAATGATTTGCGCAAAGTGAAAGAATCAAAGTGAGGAATACGGGAATTAGATTGAACATGGTTTACTGGATGGGTGTTTTGTGTATTCTAATTCATAGGATCTAGGAAACTAAGGGTGTGTTCTCTTTCTCGTTTTTGACTCGTTCTCTTTCTCGTTTTCGATTTTTCAAAACGATGAAAACTTGTTCTCTTACCCGTTTTAGAAAACACGTTTCCGAAAACACACAAAAAAATTGTGAAGAAAACGAAAAACGACCAAAATATCGTTTTGGCTATTTTCTATATAAAACTCCAAAAAATTGCAAAACACAGGAAATGCCTTTTGAAAGACAAAACCAAATCTTCATCCACTTTCTTCAAATCCATTCTCTGCCTTATCTTTCTCTTGGACACCGTCTGTGGGTGATCGACACCAGCTATGGATGGTCGCACATTTCAACCAATGACGAAGGAGATGTGGTAGTATCGACACCAGCATGGGGACGCGTGCTGTTATGAACGCAGCGTCGCAACCCATTCATCGTAACCCAGGGAAGGGGACGTTACTGTGGTTTGGGGCCGTCTCTACCAGCAGTCGAAGAGAGAAAAGTTGCAATTCATCGCGATGGGTGATCGACACCGCAAATCTGTCCAGAATCTGCTTTCTCTATTTTTTGGGAGTTTTTTCTTTTGTTTTTTGGATTTGGAAGGCGATAGGTGTTGATGGTGGTTGTAATGGTTTGTTTGTGGTGGCAGTGGTTGATGGTGGTGGTGTGTGGTATTGATTTTGGAAGTGGTGAGTGGTTCAGGGTGGTGGCAGTGGTTGATGGTTGGTGGTGGCAATGGTGTTGATGGTTGATGGTGGTGGCAGTGGTGTTGATTTTGGTCTATGGTAGTGGTGGTGGTTGTCTCTGTTGGCGGTGGTTGATGGTGGTGGGCTAAGAGGAAAACACATTTTCCAAAATTTCAAAGAATTTCATAGTGGATACATTTTCCATTTTTCTGTTTTCAGAAACGTTTCTCAAAATGTCAAACAGAACGTATTTTCAACAATTTCAAAATGTACACTCAGAACACAAAATTCAAAATGAATTCAAAAATATAAAACTAAAACACGAAGAGAAAACACCCTAAGGTTTTGTATATATGGATTTGAATTGTTTATATAGGTTTTTCTCTGACATTGGACACGTTTCATTTTATTATGAACTCCACTAGAGTTGTCAGAAATTGAACGCTTTTTCTCAAAGGGTTTGCTGATGGTCACATGGTTGAAGGTGGTGGCATTGGTATGGTTGAAGGATGGGGAAGAAGATGAAGTGTAGTGGGATGGGATAGGAGGGAAAATATAAAGTTTAAAGGTTTGGGATCGTGGATGGTACATATAAAAATTTTGGATGTAATTTGTAAAAAAATAAAAAAATTTAGCAATTATTCTTTTTTAATTTTGTTCAATTTTTACTATTTTTAACTATTAAACTAAAGGATATTGATTGTAAGGAAAATTTTCAAATAAAAGAATACAAATAGATGGTTTTCTATGATTTCCAGTAGGGAGTATACCGTACATTGACAAGTTTTTTGGAGAGTTTTTTGCTATTAATCATTTTTATATTTGCTTTCTAATCTTTTCTTTTACTCATTTTTCGATTTTGGATTGTTTATCCACCCTCAAGTTCACGCCTTCTAAGTTTTATTTGTGGTTACTTTAGAACAATGTGCTATTTTTATTTGAAAAATTCTATAAAATATTTAAAGTGAAAAATAAACTAATTCTTGAATTTCAATAATTTGCTTCTTTTTTCATTTCATTTCTATTTTTCTTATTTAATTTTATTTTTATATCACACTAAAATATATAAGCATCATTTGTTGAAGATTTCTATATATTTATGAGTAAAGCCTCTTATACACCGAGTTTTACACTCCCCTCACATGGAGGGAGGGGTTCACGCCCAATTAATGCGCAAGCCCCGCCCCCATGTGAGGGGGTTGTACATTGAGCTGTAAGACTCGATATATGTGTAGCAGCTCCATATATTTATTGTCTCATTTTCTACTTATATTAGAAGTGGACATAATGAAAATTAAATGTAGCCAAGTACAAAAAAATATTGGTTCAACCCATTTCGGCCTTTTGACCATTGATCCTTTTATTTTTTTGGGGTCGATTTTGAAAACTTTGATATACAAAAATATATCTTAATACTATAGGATCGTCAAAAAAAGGCACTGGGGAAGAATATGTTCTTGAGTAACAATGACCGATTGAGGAATTCATCAAACAGGTCGACGTTTTACCAATTTTTTGGTCCAAATGCACCACAATGTTATACTCAAAATTTGCGCAAAAATCCTTGATCTAGATCTGAATATGAATCTGAATCTGAATCTGAATTGGTATGCATTATTGATCAAGAATGCTGTAGCCCTTAAAATATTCCTAACAGGCCATACTTGTGAGCTTGTACATATAGCAGAGGGATTCGATTATATACTCTTAGGGAACATAAAAAAGTCGTGACAATCAACTAGTACATTTTATATAGGTGACTCTTCAACATGACTTCGTCTAACTTAGTGATAAGCATAGTTTTAATACATAATTTGCCCTTAATCTTGCTTTTCTTAGTTAATCTTTTCTTATTCATATGTTTTGAGTTGGAATGGGTTAACAAGAATCAAAGGGAAATTTGTTTACATTTTATTAGTTAAAGAATGGTTGATTAAAAAGTTTGAGCCATTGGTTTGAATGGATCGTACAATTTTCAAAGGTGAGTTTAATGTGCTTCTTTACTTCTCACAACAACACGTAGCACGCACATGTTAACGTGGGTGGACTGACTACTAATTTCTATCTATTTTATTTTTATCTTTTTTATTAATAATAATAATTAGTATGCGTCTTAAATAATTGTTGGAATATAGGGACTAAAATTGCAATTTTCATTATGATTAGTATTGGGCATTGTTCTAAAAAGCTCCCATAAGTTTTGTCTTGCTTGAAGCATGGCCTTATAGTCTAATCACGCTTTACACTTTTTTTTTACGCATATGCAAAATTTGCTTTTCAAAATACTAATATTACGTTTCTATATTTCTATAAAAGGGTCCTCCTGATTCTGGGTGTCGTCAATTGATATTTTAATGAATTTTAAATAATTATAAATTCTAATAAATTACATGAATTTGAATATATTTCCTCATAATCCCATAATTTTAATAGAATTTGTAAATTTTAAAGGATTTAATTGAAATACATTAAAACCCAATTGAAAACACCTGAATCTTGAATAATTTTTAAAATTCGTTAAAATTTCAACCGAGAACCCCTAATCATGTATCCATCTGCATCACACCACTATCCAAGAAGAGACTTATCCAATTTTTGGAGTCATGGCTTTTGTCAGCAAATTTGTCTTTAAATTAAAAAGCCGTTCATCACAGCCTCCATTGGAAGTACTAGTGTCAAGGTATGGACAAGAGAACATGTTCAGCCATTATCTTAGCTTCTGCACTGGCAATTGCATTCCAAGTCTTTGTTTTATCTCCAATATCACCCGATATACTTCTTCTTCCAACCTCTTCAATCCCATCAAACAGCAAGTTACAGGTAAATATATACCTTACTCGTAATTCGTGTGTGTGTATAACAAACGGTTTATGCTACTAGTTTCTTTTTGGCCTAATAAATAGGAAGTGAGTAAACTTGGAGAAGGGCTTTTAAAGAAACCAGAAGCCATTGCCGTCGACAAATCTGGCGTGCTTTATACGGCTACAAGAGATGGTTGGATCGCAAGATCGCACAGAAATGGATCCTTGGAGAAATGGAGGCATATTGACAGTGATAATTTACTTGGAGTAACTGCAACAGCAGCTGGTGATCTTGTCGTCTGCGACGCAGAGAAGGTAAATCGTATTGAAGAGTAACATTTCTTAACAATTTCAGCTTTTCGATGAGTTTGTTGGACACATCTGGTGAAAGCAGCTCAAGTCTCGCCTCTAACCATTCATGAAAATTGTGTACTTTTTTTTTCTAATAATTTTAGCTTTTCGATGAGGTAATTAGACACAACATCAAGTGAAATCAATTCAAGTCTCGTCTCTAAACATTTAGGACTTTCTTAACTATTTGTCATTCGATGTAAATCGCAGTTCAAGTTTCACTTCTCGTCATTTGGAAAAATTGTGCACCTTTAATGAAAATAAATCTGACTACTATGTTGTAAAACTAAATTTTTAAATAAGTAAATACAATCCCTTGTTAATAAATAAGGTTTTTAGATAAAGGGTTCATCATGCCTTAATACTTCTCAAGAATTTTGTTCATGTTTTCAAGTATTTACACTCGTAATTATCGTGATGGCACAGGGTTTGCTCAAGGTTGGAGAAGATGGTGTCACCGTTCTTGCATCCCATGTTAATGGTGCCAAAATTTTGTAAGATCCCTTGTAAATTCAATATCAAGTACATAATTTTCATAATGAATATGAAAAAATTGATCTGCAACTTTTGTTAAACAAGCTTGTCTAGAAACTTCAATGTTAGGTAGGAATATTTTTTTTTTTTTTTTTTCCTTTTTTCAAATCCTCTTTGGACCATTTACTTTGCAATTATCCTATTTGTACATCATTTTTTTCACATCAATTTTCACACTCCTCTCACAAAGGTGGGGTCCACGATTATTTTAATCGTGGACCCCATCCACTTGTATGTGTGTGTACTGTGATAATTAACGTAAAAAAAAGTGTACAAATAGAATGATTCTTTGGCAATTTATCGAAGTCTCTAGCTAATTGATGTCTATTTGAATACGCAATAAGAATTATTTATAGTTGTCTCTATCATCTCACTCTAATTTTAACGAGAGATATAATTGAAGAGTGATATGCTATTATTAAAATGCAACCAGTCGATCACGATGTAAATGTTGAAGCTTGGAAAGCCACAAAAAAATTCATGTCGATTATATAATATTTAATTTAGTTTGATTAGTAGATTTATTTACCTTAATCCTCTCTTTTTTTTTAAGGAAAAAAGGGCTTTTACGGCCCTAATAAATTTTTTATATTTAAACTTTATTTTCTAAAATTACAAAAAAAAAAACTGTCCATTTTGTTGGGAATCTACTTATACATGCACAGCGAAATTTAAAATAATTTTCGATTCCCACCAAGAATCGCCTTTGTGTTTAGATAGAAATTGTGATAAGATTGTACCTTTTTCAGATCTGCAATCCTTTTGCTTTTCTCTTTCGTTCCACAACCTTGATTCGCCACCACAGCTGTCCAATTGTTCAGCCTCCAACGGTGCTTCACACAGAGAATATGATTGCAGCCTCTAGGGTTTTCTCTTGTGCCAGCAAGAATAATGAAAACCTTATGGACCTCAAACCCTAGTTATGTATTTATATAAACCCAAACAGGCTCGGTTCGGTCCGGTCCAATAATTAATTAATCCAATTAATTAAACTCGGTCCGTGAATTAATTAATCCAATTAATTAATTCGAAAATATAAATAACAAATCCAATTAATTAATTTATCCAACGATTGTTAAATTAACCAATTGGCAATTTGCAATGTTCCAATTCTCTTTTGTGTGTGACCCATTAGGTTCCCGACCACGATGCCTAACGACGTGAAATATTATTTCGATCTAATCAAAATTGATAAATTAAAACACCCTTTTAATTTATCGTCAATTCACGTTCACCGTCCCTGATTGACATCTAGCAATGTGTCAAGGCAATACATATGACGGGAAATGTCACGTGGTATGACAAAATCAAATTCGTTCGTTTACCGTGAAACTATAATCCCTTCATCAATATGATCCGATCAATTACGAGATATGGAGCTGTGTCAATCTCGATCATCGATCATATCTTTCACTCCACTATTAAGTCAATATAAGTCGAAAATTCCTTTTCGACTTATGAGTACACCTTGGCCAAGGATTTCATCATTGACTTAATTGAATGAAACGCAGATCATAATCTCCTACTATTTAAGAGTGACGAATCCTTTATTGATCAATCACAACCTTCATACGATTCTTGACGTACCCGAACGATGTCGTATTAGCAGCCCTTTTCAGAGCAACATTCAACACCACCAAAGTATGACTATCCTCATATAAGATACCATGACGACCTCAAGTCAAAGGATCAATTCCACTATCGAACGTTAGAGATTAACCACTGACACTCAGATAGTTATCCATGTGGAATCTCTCGACGGGTCTCCAATGTTCTGTTCTATAACAAAACATCCACGTGTTCATTTAAGTGTCACCACACTTTAACTTGTGAGATCAGCTACTTACTTCACAAGTAAGAAATGTCACACGTGATGGTCTATCCGTAATAACGATATCCGTATCTCGTTATTACTTACGACCATGGATGATTTAAGATTCAATCAGATGTAATTTGTATCTCACAATCACAACTCCTTGTAATTAACAAATTACGAAAATTTGAATTTACGGACTCTATTATTTATTTAATTGTCTATTAGTTAAATAATAAATTTTTCATTTAATTGCATTAATTATATATAAAAGTATTTATGTCCAAAATTGATTGGACCTAGGGCATAATACTTACACATTTTACACCAGATTGTATTATGTATTTGGATTAATTAATTATGTCCCTATTAGCCTACTATTATTCAATGAAAATAAGTTTTGGAATAATATATTTTTGTAGAATGTGTGATTAAAAAATAAAAAATTAAATTTACGTGGAAAATATTTTATTATGAAAGTACGTGGTGGAAAATGAGTTTGAGAAAAAAAGTTTGAAATAATAATACAAAAGGGGCTATGCTATAAAGTTTGAATATTCAATCATGTTACTTGTACATTTTATTTGATATCATTGTTGAGATTGTGCCACGTGTCGACACATGATTGGATATTTTTTAAACTCAACACACTTTCCCGTCAAAGCATTTTTGAATTTGCATACAATATCATCTAAATTGTCATTTATATAATGTACAAGAAGTTTTATTCTTGAATATTTATTTATATATTATTTCAAATATTTAAAAGGTTTGCAGATGATGTGATAGAATCAGCAGATGGTAGTTTGTACTTCAGCATAGCAACTACAAAATTTGAGCCGCATGATTGGCACCTTGAAGTGCTTGAGGCAAAGTCGCATGGCCAACTTGCAAAGTATGATTCTTCATCGAAGGAGACGTCTATTTTGCTTGATAATCTTGCCTTTGCCAATGGTGTTGCCCTCTCGGCAGATCAAGACTACTTGGTCGTATGTGAAACTTGGAAGTAAGTATTTTTTCAAGAATAAATGCTTAATTTTTCTTAATTTACTCGGACGAAACTGGTAACATATTTAGTTGTGTTTGCATCAAGAATAACAAACTAAGTTCACATTTGATCCCGATTTTCTAAAATTCCTATTTTTTTTTTTGTCAAATATATTTTCAACAATACATTTAATTAATTTTTATCAAGATCTACTCAAAGATATAATTTTCTAGAACAAATAGTGGTTGAATTTTATTCTTAATAAATTTGACGTAGATTACATAAATCCTTTTTCTCTAGTCAATTCTACTCATTGTTATATTTATTTAAAAACTTAGACAATTAGATCATTTTATTCTACCATTTCCTCTTTATGACTTGTACCTTGAGATATCGAAATATGAGGATTTAAATTATTCCTCTTAATAAGTTTGATCTTTTTTAATATAGAATATTTAGTTTTACTACAGTATTAGAGCCTTTAAGGATAAATGAATAATTTAATTCGATTAAGATTCAAGTGAGCACATGAATCTTAAGATTGACGTACTCAAACAAAGCACCATATTGAGGGCATGTTAATCTCTACATTAAAAGTTTACACAAGTAGATTTACCCCTTTCAGCAGTTGCCGAATTTAATGGACTCACCATTTGAGATTTTGATGGCAGATATAGATGCTTAAAATATTGGCTAAAAGAGGAAAAGAGGGGACAAACTGAAGTATTTATTGATAATCTTCCTGGTGGCCCTGACAACATAAATCTTGCTCCAGATGGCTCTTTTTGGATTGCTGTGTTAGAGGTAAAACTCACTGTGAAGCTTATCATGGGATTGTTTAACAAATCATTTCATAAAAGTTTTTAGCAAATTTAGATAAAAGTTGATAAAATTGTGACTTCATGATATAAATGGTTAAAATTGAAATTTGATCCATCGACAAGCACGAGGAATTATTTCAAGAAAAGCTGCAAATTTTGTAGTCAATAACCATATAAACTTCCTGTGTTTATCCAAAGGTTTAATGAAATTCAAGATGAGAAAGCTAAAAACTTGTCGAACTAAGCTTTCTTTTTAGAATAATGCTATTTAACCCTACTGAAATTGCAACATCAATTTGGGTGCACACTAAATGAAATGTGAAATTAAATTATTTATTTAGTTTGACTTATCATTTAATGTCAAATTAGCTACATAACATTATTCTTCTTTTTACTTTCCATGTATTCCTTTCTCTATTTTATTATTCGAGCAACAAATTGATCCCTAACCTTAAAATAGGGCAAACTTGCCCCCAAACATTTTGTTAAACTTGAAATAGTAGGTCCTTAGTAACAAAAACTGTCTAAATCCCCTATTAAGCGTCATGTAACCCCCACCTATCCGACTTTATGAAGCCAATTTTTTGGTTTGCAACTTAGGTTAGTGCCAGGGACAAGTTAATGAAGATGTAGTTGTAGACTAGCTTCTTACTCAAGTGATAGGTCACTGAAATTCACAACATAATGTTTGCAATATTTATAGAAGGAGACTTTCTTCATACTTGAGATGAGATCTACTATGATTTTTAAGATCTCGATGAGAAAATAGATCTAAACTCATCATATTCATAACTGAAGACTTTCTCTGGTGCTGCAGGTGGTTCCTAAAAGGTTGGCATTCGTGCACAGATCAAGAGTGATAAAACACATTATAGGGCGTTCCTCTAAATTAAGCAAATGGGTAATTGGTTTCAACAACAAAGCAATGGTTGTCAATGTAGCAAGTGATGGTAAGATTATTAGGAGCTTTGACGATCCAACGGGAAAGATTATGTCATTTGTAACATCTGCACTGGAGTATGAAAATCATTTGTATTTGGGAACTCTTAATTGTGACTTCATAGGGAAACTGCCACTGACAAATCCATGAGAATAGCACTATTTGATTTGGGATTGCACGCATCAATAATATTGTAAAAACGAGTCGTAAATCATAATCTAGTTTTGTTTCCTTGGTGCTGGTTATATTTTGTTTATCAAATTGATGAAATCCAGGTTTTGCATACGGATAAGGGAAAGTACTAAGAGAACTTTTATGTGTAGTATTAGACGAGACTAGAAGTGCAATGAACAAACTTTTATGTTGGGATGTGTTAATCCATTCTACCGAAAATGAATGAGAATCTGGAGAAAAACTTAGATATGAAAAAGCACTCGGACTGCGACTCCACCTATGTTTTTCCACTTTTATCATCAAACGGAAAAAACTGCATTAACAGAAAAATTCGGACAAATTGTTTGACAAAAGAGCGTGTGACATTTTGTAATTGAATGAAAAACATGACTGTTTTTTAAAGAGTCCAATGACATAACGCCACGTGACATTATATCACAGTAACATGACTCTTCTCAAATTCCCGTAATTGACAATTATGTATTTGAATTGATAATCAATGTTCCTAAAATGCCTAACAATCCCTGCGATACATTTGCATTTTCAAAAAGGAAAGCTCATTTGAGTAAGCCTCAACTTCCAAGACAAATAATACTCGTAATTAAAATACTGTGATTCCTTTTCATTCTTGTTTACAACAGAAATGGCAAGAGAGTGAATTGTCATCCCCAGACTGCCAGTAATAATATTTGTTTATTAAATCAGTGAAATCCGCTGCATTTGAACAAAACCACAGTAAAAGGCAAGGCTCAGATGATATCTCGTAATAACAACATTGTCAAATAATATTAGAAAGTTAGTGTGGTGAACGAGATTAGTGTGTCCTTGAACAACACAAGGCTCAGATGAAAATCTGGAGTCAATTGACAATAATCATTGAGTGCGATAAAGCGAGACACCGAACCAGAATTCGATGTAGTAATCCATATGCAAAAGCAAACTCATTTGTCTATCCTACATACGAAGACAGGAAGAGATGCAGAAATTTTTTATAGCAGAATGTTTTGGAAATCAGTCACGCTCACTAATGGCAGTCAGGTGCTCATCGATTTCCTCAGTTGATAAAACTTTGAAGACTGGATCTTCTTTCCTCACGACACCCACCTGGTAAAGAAGATTTAATTCACAGTTAAACATGCTCAACCACTCAAAAAAGTAATCCATTTGTGCTAATATCAAACTTGAGATTTCCCCCTAAAAAAGATTTCTTTTTGCACACAATGGGCAAAATGTTGCATCATTAAAAAGGAATACAAAATTGATGTCAGATGTCCAAGATCAGACATTGGAAACATAAGTAATCTCATTCAAAGTAGTTATTAGGTCGTCTTTTGCATTCTCTCATTTGGTAGATAAAATTTGTGCAAGCCAAAAGACTTGACTAGACGCCCAAAAAAACCTCTGAAAATGGAGTGGAGAACAATATCTTGAAGGTAATGTGTGACATAGAGTCGAAGAGATAACAGCAGAGCAACCATACATTATAAAAAATAAAAATACGGAAAACAAATAATTAACAGGAACAAGGAAGTGCTATTATCAGCTATGTTAACTACCTCAATCTCGCTGGCTTTGAAATCCTCCTGTAGAACAGATTGCAGAGCAGAAATTGCAGTCTATAAAAGAAGCAATATTACAAAATTAGAACTCAAAACATTAACTGTAATATAAGAATCAAAAGCGTTTGTATAGACGTGCTAATACGAAACAAACTCAAGTATAAATTACTCTGATTGGAAGAATTTTCAAGACTGAAGAAAATATCATCTCCCTCAGCTTGGTAAGGTATAAAAATTCCACATGGCATTCCAAGCAACGTCCTTTAATAAATCAAGAGCAGTATCATTTTTTTTACTTGCTTTCCAACTGGGCTTTCTATAAACAAATAATATTGCACTCCTCACTTTTTTGGTAACACGTTCTACGATTCTCAACTCAATATTAGCAGAATTTTATTCAATTCAAACTAAAGTTTACTTTCTGAGATTCGTCAGTTTTCATGGGTTAAAAATGTAAATAAGAGCAATTCAAGGATAACTTTTCCATGCTTCGTAAGCCTGGTCATTCTACAAAGAAGTACAGGACCTCAGCCAAATTTATTCAACATAGTAGTATCATATTAGGTTTCAAAACATCACTCCTTTTATTCACCAGGTTAAAAATCAAAGACTATTACTTGTTTGAGCCCTATTTTTTTTTTCAAAAAATGTATTTCGTAATAGTGTTATGATGGAGAATGTGTGGTTAAGAAATAAGGAAAAGTTTTGGGTTTGTGTGTAATATTATTTTGTTGAAAATGTGAGATTAAAATGAGGTTAAATCACTGTTCAATAATGCATTTTGATGGAAAAAAAAGGGGGCTCATACAAGGGCTATATATCTAAAATGCAAAACTTCAATACAAAACATATTCATGATGTGACTTTCCTTTACCTGTACAGTTTCCTCATAGGAAAATGAAATGTCATTTTTCATCTTCTTTTCCAAAAAGTTAATTGCCTCTTGCTCTTTTGATCCGGCACTTGTTGCCTAAAAATTCAAGATGAAAGTAAATGGTCACTCCACCACCAAATGATGCCACATTAAAGCGTAATTCTTCAGTAAAAAGGTACAGACAGAAGGGGGAAAATAAAAATTCATTGCTAACATAACTGACTCCAACTGGAGGTGATAAAACATTTATTCGGCAGGAAAAAAAAAAATCTCAACCCGGAAAAATATCAGCATAATGCTAAACAAAATATCTTAGCCTATGTTTGGCTCATACTTATAACTGTTTATAAACAAGTAACTTTTTATCTACACAATTTGAAGGACCCACAAGTACTATCTACTTATTATAATTTAAGCCATTTATAAACACTTCCCAAACATACTTTTAGTTTTGTACTCAAACAACTACACTCATGACTGTGGAATCAAAGAGGATACCATGTACTCGTTTCAATTGCATTTGTCTTTTTTATTTTGAGATATTTGAACATCAGAGTATTATTAGCCCCTGTTTGATGGCCATTAATTATAAAGAGAAGTTGGGGGAAAATGATGTTTTGAATAATAATTTTTTTTGGAGAATATGTGGTTAAGAATTAGAAAAGGTTTCGGATTTACGTTCAAAATATTTTATTGTGTGAATATGTCGTTAAAAATGAGTGTGAGAAATAAAGAGTTGAGAAATAAAGAGAGTCAAACAGGGGCTTATATCAGTTAAATCCCATCTTGTTTGTTTGATACTAGGAGAATGTTGACAAAGCGTAAATTATAATTTAAACATGTCAAACATACTTCTTTTTCTTAAAACATTTGGTGCAATCCAAAACTTACTACTACTTATTATCCACACATTCCATATGACCCACTGCTCATAAGCACTTCAAAGTATTACCAAACAAGAACTAGTTACATAACTAGCAAAAGGATTTTGAGTAGTAGCTCTTAGGCCACGATACAATTAGTTAGAACATATGATGTTGGAGTTCAAGAATTCAAAGAAACTAGCGATATTTTAGTTGCTTGGAAATGAACATACGACTTAAAACAAAGCCAAATTCATCAGATTCTATCTACCATAAGGCGCCTAAGCCAAGCCCATCTAAGAACACACTGCAACCTGATTCTTGCATTTAACAAAACTACAAATTGCTTTCAGTCTCAAAGGGAACAAGGTAGAAAAATATACCTAGATATTGATGCTATGGATCTATGATTAAGGATCATTAGCTAAGGATTTGCTATTATTACTTGGAACCACTTCCCAATTTCCCTCGAGCTCAAATACAATGACAAAGCCTCCTTGACACTACAACAGACAATGCTTACAAAAAGGAATCTAGAATTTGTGAGTTCTAGATCACAAGAAGTTACCAGCTACGTTAAAACTGGTCGGACTGCTAGGACAACCAACTTTGATGACATTGAAAGAGAAAATTCATTAGTGTAGTTTTTTAATATAATCTTTCCAAGTAATCAAGGCTTGGTAGCAAGCTACCAACCCCTATTGCGAGAAGTGGCCTTGGTCAGTAATCAATATTCAATTTATCATTTTGGATGATCACAAGCGCCTATAGCAAATAGCTTCTACAGACAATGGAAATGATGTTTCAGGAATGTTACATCATGCATCAGAAGCAACAATTATGAAATTCCTTACAAATAAAAATTGTAATTACCTTATGACCATAAAAATGGCCAGCAGGATCACATTTAAAGAGCTGAGGTCCTTTCTCCTCATCAATACCCAATATCATTGCAACTTTACAATGAAAACAAGAAACAATTACTAACAAATTATGTGAAAATAATATTGAACCCTTTCATTAAGTTCACAAATGACTAGCAACACACCTATTCCAAGGGGTCTCATATACGCATGCTGTGTATAAACCTGAGACTTGTCTGCAATCCTGTAATTAATTGGGCAAGCTTATCGTCAGTGGCCAAAAATATTAATATACATACATACATACATACATACATACATACATATGTATGTATGTATGTATGTATGTATGTATGTATGTATGTATGTATGTATGTATGTATGTATGTATGTATCAACATCCAAGAGAAAGTATACATATCATGTTAAAATGTCCAAATGAAATTTCCCAATTGCTTACTTCACAAACCAAGAATGGGTTTCTTAGAAGACTGAAGAAGTTGAAAAGTATAGGAGATTATTATGTACTGCAGAATCTGGAATGGTATCGTATAAGCAATTTATTTGCCTCCGTTTGGCCCTTTGACTCCTCTATATTCGAAATATGCCTCTCTAGAAGCATTACGATCTGCAGCTCAAATGGTCCCTTATGAAGTCTCAATTGGTCTTATTCTTATTGTGCACCTTGTGAGCGCGTTTGGATCCGCAAAGGCAAAGCCCAATTAACTCATTTTTCTGATTGACGAGTGTTAAATTAAATTTTACTTTTCTCTCTCCTATTTTTAACCACAGTCTTTCATAAAATAATATTACACTTAAATAAAAAACTTTTACTTCTTTTTCAACCACACATTCTCCGAAAAAAATAAAACCATTCCACACATTATAATTTGAAATAATGGGGCCCAAATGGGGGCTTACAGCAGAATCCTAGGACTCCGCTGTTTGAAGTTCTGGACTTCTGATCATTATAACAGTCAGATCGCTGAAAAACAGAAGCAATTGGCACAAATTACAAGTAAAGATCAAAGCAAAGCCAAAATGTCAGGCCTTTCCTTGCACAAAGTTGCCAACAGCAACATGAAATAAAGTTATCGTACCATTTGGCCAATATGTCAACAGGCATTTCATATCCATATTTAAAGTGGAACTCAGCAGCTTCATTCCTGGCTTGTTGGACCAAGGTCCTTGCATCAGCTTGAAAGTGACAAGGACAATTAAAACAAAACAGACATCAGATCCTAATCTTCGAAGCAAGCAAGTCACAACGGAGCATCTAAACCAAACTCCACGTCTAAATAGGATTTCTTATAGCAAAATTGCATTCAAGATAAAGAGAACATTCCATGTAAGCTAAAAATGCATTATGCACCTCTAGGATTCATGCAATGAATCTCTGCACTCTCATGTCTACATTTTTCTTGATACATTCTTATATAGAGATCTCAGCGAAAGATGAATTGGAATACAATCTATATGGTTTTTCTCTAGTAATTGGTAATAACGATCTAGCATATCACCCAATAGTTAGTAATCAAATAGCACAATCAACATTTTTTTGTTTTCAAATCTTCTTCCAATTACTAATGAACTAGCTCCACAAGCCAAAAGAAAGGCAAATAGTTAATTAACCAAAATCCCATACCTTGACTAAAAAATGTTTTAGCCAATAATTTGCACTTATTTGAGATTAAACAATACTCCAGCGTATACATACAAAAAAACACTAGGTCATGGTAGATGTACCTGTCATTCCGGTAGCCAATAGACCAAGATAACTAGTAATGGGAAACAAATGTGTCACACTTGCCTGATCCAAAAGCTTGTCCTGCTCCAACATTTCACAAAATGGTAAATATAATGCCAAACAAGCTATTTAATGTAATCATCTCACTTCCCCCATTTAAAGATGTTAAAAAAAAAAAAAAAAAAAAAAAAAAAAAAATAATGATAAAAACATTTTGAGAAAAACTTTTGAACCAAATCAAAAAGTATACCTGTATGATTCTAGACTCCACAAGCACCCTGGAAAACTTCGTTCTAGGTGGACTATATATATATATATAAGAATTTGTTAAATGTACCGACCGGAACTTTCTTCTGAGTAACTACACAAACGGAGTCCTTTCCGCGCACACCAATGGAGGTGATTCCACTAGCCTTAACGGCTTTGAAAGCGTACTCTGCACATTTAAATTATACATAGATGTAAAACCCTAACAAATCAAAATAAATAAAATAAAAACGAAACGAAACGAAAGATATACAGGCTAGAAGTTCTTACCAACTTGGAAGAGACGACCTTCGGGAGAGAAGATCGTTATGTGACGATCGTAGCCGCCTCCGCTTCCCCGACTCATTTTTCAGATTCGATTAAGGATTTTGAGCGTGTGGAGTTTTGATGGTTTAGTTTTATTTGTGATTTTGAAGTGTAAGAGGCAGATTGTACAGATTGGGGTTTAAATTGAGGAGAAACCAGGTAGCTTTTTGTCCAAGACAGTGAATCTGACTAGTGGGAGAGGTGGAAGAAGAGAGAGTTACAAGTTCGTAAATGCCCCTTATAGTTTTATTTTTATTTTTTTTTCATATTTTTTTTCATATTATTTTTTTAACGAAGTGTCCCATCTTGCGCCAGACTATATCCTCGTCCCTGAACCTCCGGCCCCTCAGCTGCTCAGGGAGGTAAATCGCAGGTTGTGCCCTTGTTGGTTCTTAGGTTCCCACGTGGCTTTTACTCCTTCCCCAAAGGGAGCCTCCTCCATGATTATTACATCACCAAACTGCTCCAACCCTTCCTCTGGTTATTACATCACTTGGCTGCTCCAACTAGGAATCGAATTCCGCACGCTTGGTTCCAAAGCCCCCCAATGTGATTGTTCCACCAACTTGGATGTGTCCTGGGGGGCAATGCCCCTTATAGTTATTTTCACATATGGTCACTGAAGTTTATGTCAGTCTTCAAATTGATTTTTAAATTATTTTTATGATTCATTTAGTCACTAAATTTAATTAATGTTAGTCACTCTACTAATGAAAATAGGATAAAGATATTTGAATAAAATCTTGTTGACAAGGTGTATTCACTCTTACAAAATTAGCGAACTCCACGTGAATTTTAAAAAGTCTACTTGTGACCCCCCACCCCCATTACGAATAGTAAATAAGGGAGTTTGCAAAAAAAAAAAATTGTTCATTAGCATGATCCATGAAAATAATGTCCCTCTCTGCCAACATTTCAACTTTCACTGACCTACTGTCAACCTTTTTTTTCCACTAGACATTCTCAACCTTTTGAAAATATAGCAGAACTTGTCCTTGCAACCTATTTAAAAAATACAAAAAGAAAAAATTAAACCCTTGTTTTAGCCCCATTTTGAGGGAAAAAAATGAATTTTTGAATAATGTATTGATGTGAAATGTGTGGTTAAAAAATAAAAAAAAAATATATTTTTTATTAACATTTATCAAATTCTCTAAAATGGTCTTCTAAAGCCTTTGTTCTCACCATTTTCTCGTCCTTGTTTTTGCCTATTTTGCAATTCATTTCCTATTTCACAGTCACTTTCAAACCTACCCACTTTCTTCCCTTTCAAGTTGACTACCTTATCGTCATGATTCTTTTGTCACTTATTTTGCTTGAGAGTTTCAAAAATAATCCAATACTGATGTTTTAATTGCACTAAATGTTCACTAACTTACTTATTGCATCTCTTATGTTCTTAATTTTTATTTTTCATTTACTGGTCGAACTTTTTATTTACAAAATTTGATGGTTTTTGTCAAAATGTCTCCTTCCCATGAAAATATTTTGTCGTGCTTTTATATATATTATTTGGACAATACTATACGTACTGAATTGTTTTATCGAATATTTTACCTACTACTCACAATAAGGATGGAAACCACATGTTGGCATTTTAAAATTCATGCGGGGCTCGCATGCATTGTGAGAGAGGGGACATCATTCGGTACGTATGGAATAATTCATATTATTTTTGTGATTCAAAAATAAGCCTTTTACTTGATTCCAATGAACTTTTTGGACGAATTATATTAATTAATAAAATTTTAGAAATTAAAATGAGAATATATTTACCCATTTTATAAGTAGCTTTTACTATTCATAGGTAATACATAATCAATAATGAAAATTACGACTTATAATAGTAAAATCTAAACTGATTTGAATAAATTAAGCTCCTGCTTGGTCGATATTAAAATTGAATTTTTAGTAAATTTTGATAAAAATTTAAAAATTGTGAATAACATAAAATAAGCGATTAAAATTAATTGTTGACTTTAATTTAAATGAAAGCCTTAGTACTAGGGCTAACCCAATTCTTGATATGAAACGCGTTCTTGCCAGAATTAATAACCAATTATGCCTCCGTTTGAGCCCATTATTTCTCATTACATTAAATTAAATTTCTTACTTTCTTACTTTTAACTACACAATTTTTAATAAAATAATATTACACGTAAATCAAAAACTTTTCATCCACTCATTTTTCAAAAAAATACTATTCATCTCATTATAATCTAGAAATAACGAGGCTCAAACGGCTCCCATATAACTTGATTATGTAAGGCCAGTCACATTATGAGTCAAAATAATATGATTCCCCGACCCTATTAGGCACCACTATAAATTTATTTACGATTCATTTTTTCTCCGCCACAATCCCCACCGCTACCGCCACCTGTACAGATTCCGTCATATTTAATGCCGCCGCGTTGGCATTAGACTCTGCCTTTTTCATCTCTCTCTGTCTTGTTCATTGCTTTGTAATTATTACCAGTTACTGTATAACAGGTAGCAAAAGAAGAAGAAAAATTATTGCAGTTTGCATAGGTGAAAGTTGTAGTTAATTTCGAAGTACTTGGTTGGAGATTCAGGGATTTTGGAGGTTTTAAATTGGGACGTTTTTGTAAAAAGGTATAAGTTTTACGTGACGTTGTTTGCTTTCGACACTCTCTACGATTCAGTTGTGATTTTTGTGTGAACAATATATTATTCTCTTTCCGTTCCGATCGATCCAATTTTAGAATTCATTGATAATTCTGTACAATTGATGATTCATTGTAACAGATTCTAGCCTTTACACTTTTTATTTTTGCATTTTATTCAGTTCTTCACGATATAAAATACCCCCCCCCCCCCCCCCCCTCAATTTGATGTTGGGCAATCAAAAAGCATCCCTCCCCCCCATATACTGAAACGTTTCACACTTGCTGTATGAAAAAAAATAATTTATTTTGTCATTCCATGAAAATGTGATGAGATCTGCGATCTGTTTGGGAAATGTGATTTGTGTGTTTGTGTTGCTTTGAATGTGATTTTTTGTATGAACTATGAGATGGTGGAGGAATATGTTCTTGTGGTGTGTATAACAAACTTATTTTTTGTGCAAATGGGACAAGAAGTTAGGTTAAGTAATGAAGTAATACTTCGTTTAGTCAAAAATTGGGTAAAAAGTGTTGAGGCTAAAGAAAGACACGGTTAAATGAAGTAGTGGTTGAATTTTGATCGTATGACAGCAATGATTGGTTCATGGCTGCAATTAGTTTGAGGCTAGCTGTTTCCCATTTCAATTGGTATTCTTTTAACTTGGTCACAAGTTTGAAAATAGCAAAAATATTTTTTTTTATCGCTTCTATCATCCACATCAAAGGTTTGAATTTGATTATTTTCAAGAAAATAATGTTGTATCTTCTAAAATTTGTTTAACGTGCCTTGAATTTGTTTGGATGATATATCTAAATATGTGCTTATATTTCTGGCCTTGTATGTAACTTTGAACTTTTGTATTTTTTTTTTTCATTGCTGATTGAACTTTTAAATTGAAAATAGTGATTACTGATGTGTTATGTTTCCCCTGCTCCTTTCTTGTGTGATGGTTTAGATATGGTAATTTGATGGAAATACCACGAATATGACATTCAAATGATTTTGAGTTCGGTGTAATTTGCGGTATCAAGGATGAAAGGAGCCTTCTATGGGCTGAAGCTTACACAGGTCTCTCTCATCCTCATCAGTTTTGTTTGTGCAACGGTGCTTATACTGGCATGGACGAAAACTACATTCCTCACTTCTTTAATCCCATCTCAGAGTAGTATTATGCGGTTGAACCCAGGTTTGCCTTTACTTATGATATTTACCTTGCTGGTTAAGTCATTCATTTTTCAATTTTTTTTTTTTTTTTTTTTTTTTTGGATCTGACTGGCGCATATAGACCTCAAGATTGCCTTTTTAAAAGTGTTTAAGATGCTATATTTTGGCTGGCAAATGTGCATTGACATCTTTAGTGTGCTTAAGCTTTATTACACGCTTGATTTTTCTGATGGCATTGTGTTGCGGAGTAAATAAAAAATTGTAGTGGGATCCTTGCCTGCTCTTACTTGTGTACTTTGTCCTACGACAGTCAAGTTAAATTTGTTAGAACAAATAATTGCTGTGCACTCAAGCTCGTTTGGGAGGGAATAAGTTTTCTTCAGGGCAGAATACAAGATTAGGTTTTTCCTTGCCTACCACCAGAATTCCCAACCCTGCATTGGCCCTGGATTCTTGGGAGTATCATGAATTTCTTTATCTGCTTCAAACATTAATCAGATATCTGGCACACTTTGATTTTTCTCCTTCTGAAGCTGAGCGGTGCTTTACTTTTCTAAAGTCCCTTTTATCTTGCATTTCCATCAGTTTTAGAGTTAGTGAGCTTAGGAAAAGTTTAGTTGGAATTATTGTCTTTCATGATCACTTTTCTAAATTCTTTTGCTTGATGCTACTCATTCCAGTATATTTTTTATTATCACTCTTCATTTATCAAATAATTATCTTTGTAAGAATGTGTTGTGCCTGCTGAAGCATAAATTTTGAAGTGGGGTTTTTACTATTGATCCTATTGTGGCAAATCGAATTGTTGTGACTTGCCTCTTCATAACATCTGAAATTAGAATTTCAGATTGTGATATATTTGGTGATGGTGCAGAAATCCCTCCTGATCTTATGGATGGAGCAGTTCCAGAAAAGGTTTTAGAAGGAAAAAACAGTTCAAAAGAAGCGGAAAGGGACAAAGTCGCAGCAGTAGGTTTGTCAAGCAATGAGTCTACTATTAAGGGAGAACACAGTAAAGTTTTGGTGACAGGTGATGGCGCTGAAATCCCTCCGGATATTACAAGTGAAATTTCAGAAAAAGCTTTTGGAGGAAAAAAAATTTCAAACGAATCTGACAGGGACAAAGAAGAACCAGTAATATTGTCAAGAACAGAGTCTACTATTAAGGAAGAACCCGGTAGAAATTTGGCAACGCCCAACAAAAAGAAAGGTAGAATGTTCATCTTGAGATTTATGATCTAAATGATCTCATCATTCAATTGGAATGCTCAATGAGTTTAGTTGCCTCAGGCCTTTGAAAGGCTGTTGTGATGTTTATTGTTTTTCATTTGTACATGATGCAACTTTTACCAGTACTGCTTTGTTAAAAAGTGATCTTTTTGATAGATTATGGCTTTTCCCCCTTCTACTATATTAAATTGGTTATATTGTCTATTTAGGAATCATAAGTTATGGTGTCTTTATTTGTTCTCGTGTCCATATTAAGTTATTTATATTCATAATATCAGCATCAATTTTGCTTGACGTCGTATAATTTTCCTTTAGAGTCATTGTTTTTGCAGTTTGAATGGCCCCGTTTGGGAGTGATTTTGAGAATTGATTTTGTGACCGTTAGGAGAAAAATGGGAACTACGTGTGAGAGAAGAAGTCAAATTTTACGGTTTAAATAATGAAATAACGGTCAAAAAATCAATTTTTTGGGGTGAAAAATCACTCCCAAACAAGCTCCTAATTTCACTGGAAATCCTGTTTAAAAGATTATCTCATTTATAAGGCTTCAGATTTTAATATTGTAATGCTTGTGCAGAAATTCCTCCAAGTATGATAGGATCCGAATCAGACAAGTTGTCAGAAGCAAAAAATAATTCAAAACCAGCAGAAAAGGGTGTAGTTGCAACGAGAAGTTCAGAGCAAAGTAAAAGTTCGTCAACTTGGACTGAAGAGAAAGGTTGGATACAAAATTTTAGTCTGTTTGCTTTGTTAAAAAATTGTTGTCATAACTAAAATTGAAATGCTCAATGAAGAGGATTCAGTTGCCTCTGGATTGTCCATTTTCTCCTTTCTTATGGATAAACCACTAGGAAATGGATTTGTAATAGATTGTCTATTCTTTCTTATGAAACAAGCACTGGTAAACGGGATCTGTAATGGAGCCAACTTAATTTCATGGACTTGTAGCCTTAAGTAATTTATGCCATATGAAAAATCTAAGAAGTCAAAATAATATTGAGATAGATTTTCTATTCACAAAAGGGAAGAAAGCTGTTGGAAAGGAGAATACGCCATTTGGAAAATTGTCTTTGGTTGGTATTATCCTTGATAGCCTATCATTTGGTTTTCTTATCTGCAATTATTCTCATATATACTCTTCGATATGGATCTATGATTTGTAATGGATACATTTCACTTGATGTTGTGCACATATTGTATAATAGAACTTATATTTTCATATTTTATTGTCATCATTACATTTTTCAGGGTGTAATTATGCCAAAGGTAAATGGGTCATAGATGATAGTCGACCCCTATATTCTAAAAAATAATTTATTTTGTCATTCCATGAAAATGTGATGAGATCTGCGATCTGTTTGGGAAATGTGATTTGTGTGTTTGTGTTGCTTTGAATGTGATTTTTTGTATGAACTATGAGATGGTGGAGGAATATGTTCTTGTGGTGTGTATAACAAACTTATTTTTTGTGCAAATGGGACAAGAAGTTAGGTTAAGTAATGAAGTAATACTTCGTTTAGTCAAAAATTGGGTAAAAAGTGTTGAGGCTAAAGAAAGACACGGTTAAATGAAGTAGTGGTTGAATTTTGATCGTATGACAGCAATGATTGGTTCATGTCTGCAATTAGTTTGAGGCTAGCTGTTTCTCATTTCAATTGGTATTCTTTTAACTTGGTCACAAGTTTGAAAATAGCAAAAATATTTTTTTTTTTATCGCTTCTATCATCCACATCAAAGGTTTGAATTTGATTATTTTCAAGAAAATAACGTTGTATCTTCTAAAATTTGTTTAACGTGCCTTGAATTTGTTTGGATGATATATCTAAATATGTGCTTATATTTCTGGCCTTGTATGTAACTTTGAACTTTTGTATTTTTTTTTTTCATTGCTGACTGAACTTTTAAATTGAAAATAGTGATTACTGATGTGTTATGTTTCCCCTGCTCCTTTCTTGTGTGATGGTTTAGATATGTTAATTTGATGGAAATACCACGAATATGACATTCAAATGATTTTGAGTTCTGTGTAATTTGCGGTATCAAGGATGAAAGGAGCCTTCTATGGGCTGAAGCTTACACAGGTCTCTCTCATCCTCATCAGTTTTGTTTGTGCAACGGTGCTTATACTGGCATGGACGAAAACTACATTCCTCACTTCTTTAATCCCATCTCAGAGTAGTATTATGCGGTTGAACCCAGGTTTGCCTTTACTTATGATATTTACCTTGCTGGTTAAGTCATTCATTTTTCAATTTTTTTTTTTTTTTTTTTTTTTTTGGATCTGACTGGCGCATATAGACCTCAAGATTGCCTTTTTAAAAGTGTTTAAGATGCTATATTTTGGCTGGCAAATGTGCATTGACATCTTTAGTGTGCTTAAGCTTTATTACACGCTTGATTTTTCTGATGGCATTGTGTTGCGGAGTAAATAAAAAATTGTAGTGGGATCCTTGCCTGCTCTTACTTGTGTACTTTGTCCTACGACAGTCAAGTTAAATTTGTTAGAACAAATAATTGCTGTGCACTCAAGCTCGTTTGGGAGGGAATAAGTTTTCTTCAGGGCAGAATACAAGATTAGGTTTTTCCTTGTCAGGGCAGAATACAAGGTTAGGTTTTTCCTTGCCTACCACCAGAATTCCCAACCCTGCATTGGCCCTGGATTCTTGGGAGTATCATGAATTTCTTTATCTGCTTCAAACATTAATCAGATATCTGGCACACTTTGATTTTTCTCCTTCTGAAGCTGAGCGGTGCTTTACTTTTCTAAAGTCCCTTTTATCTTGCATTTCCATCAGTTTTAGAGGTAGTGAGCTTAGGAAAAGTTTAGTTGGAATTATTGTCTTTCATGATCACTTTTCTAAATTCTTTTGCTTGATGCTACTTATTCCAGTATATTTTTTATTATCACTCTTCATTTATCAAATAATTATCTTTGTAAGAATGTGTTGTGCCTGCTGAAGCATAAATTTTGAAGTGGGGTTTCTACTATTGATCCTATTGTGGCAAATCGAATTGTTGTGACTTGCCTCTTCATAACATCTGAAATTAGAATTTCAGATTGTGATATATTTGGTGATGGTGCAGAAATCCCTCCTTATCTTATGGATGGAGCAGTTTCAGAAAAGGTTTTAGAAGGAAAAAACAGTTCAAAAGAAGCGGAAAGGGACAAAGTCGCAGCAGTAGGTTTGTCAAGCAATGAGTCTACTATTAAGGGAGAACACAGTAAAGTTTTGGTGACAGGTGATGGCGCTGAAATCCCTCCGGATATTACAAGTGAAATTTCAGAAAAAGCTTTTGGAGGAAAAAAAATTTCAAACGAATCTGACAGGGACAAAGAAGAACCAGTAATATTGTCAAGAACAGAGTCTACTATTAAGGAAGAACCCGGTAGAAATTTGGCAACGCCCAACAAAAAGAAAGGTAGAATGTTCATCTTGAGATTTATGATCTAAATGATCTCATCATTCAATTGGAATGCTCAATGAGTTTAGTTGCCTCAGGCCTTTGAAAGGCTGTTGTGATGTTTATTGTTTTTCATTTGTACATTATGCAACTTTTACCAGTACTGCTTTGTTAAAAAGTGATCTTTTTGATAGATTATGGCTTTTCCCCCTTCTACTATATTAAATTGGTTATATTGTCTATTTAGGAATCATAAGTTATGGTGTCTTTGTTTGTTCTCGTGTCCATATTAAGTTATTTATATTCATAATATCAGCATCAATTTTGCTTGACGTCGTATAATTTTCCTTTAGAGTCATTGTTTTTGCAGTTTGAATGGCCCCGTTTGAGAGTGATTTTGAGAATTAATTTTGTGACCGTTAGGAGAAAAGTGGGAACCACCTGTGAGAGAAGAAGTCAAATTTTACGGCTTAAATAATGAAATAACGGTCAAAAAATTAATTTTTTGGGGTGAAAAATCACTCCCAAACAAGCTCCTAATTTCACTGGAAATCCTGTTTAAAAGATTATCTCATTTATAAGGCTTCAGATTTTAATATTGTAATGCTTGTGCAGAAATTCCTCCAAGTATGATAGGATCCGAATCAGACAAGTTGTCAGAAGCAAAAAATAATTCAAAACCAGCAGAAAAGGGTGTAGTTGCAACGAGAAGTTCAGAGCAAAGTAAAAGTTCGTCAACTTGGACTGAAGAGAAAGGTTGGATACAAAATTTTAGTCTGTTTGCTTTGTTAAAAAATTGTTGTCATAACTAAAATTGAAATGCTCAATGAAGAGGATTCAGTTGCCTCTGGATTGTCCATTTTCTCCTTTCTTATGGATAAACCACTAGGAAATGGATTTGTAATAGATTGTCTATTCTTTCTTATGAAACAAGCACTGGTAAACGGGATCTGTAATGGAGCCAACTTAATTTCATGGACTTGTAGCCTTAAGTAATTTATGCCATATGAAAAATCTAAGAAGTCAAAATAATATTGAGATAGATTTTCTATTCACAAAAGGGAAGAAAGCTGTTGGAAAGGAGAATACGCCATTTGGAAAATTGTCTTTGGTTGGTATTATCCTTGATAGCCTATCATTTGGTTTTCTTATCTGCAATTATTCTCATATATACTCTTCGATATGGATCTATGATTTGTAATGGATACATTTCACTTGATGTTGTGCACATATTGTATAATAGAACTTATATTTTCATATTTTATTGTCATCATTACATTTTTCAGGGTGTAATTATGCCAAAGGTAAATGGGTCATAGATGATAGTCGACCCCTATATTCTGGCCTTGGTTGTAAGCAATGGTTGTCTTCAATGTGGGCTTGCCGCCTGACACAACGTACAGATTTTGAATACGAGAAACTACGTTGGCAACCCAAAGAATGTAGAATGGAAGAATTCATGGGATCTAAGTTCCTGAAGAGGTATATATTAGATTTTCTTACAATGTACAATATTTGTTTTGGGGAACTTAAAATATCTGGAGAGTTTGCATTGTTGTGGCACCAACCATGTTTATTCCCTGTAACTGAATATTTTTTTCATGCCCATTCCTTAGAATATTGATTTTTTATTTATTTTTAAATAACAATTGCAGGATGCAGGACAAAACTCTGGCATTTATTGGCGATTCATTGGGCAGACAGCAGTTCCAGTCACTGATGTGTATGGTAACAGGCGGTAAAGAGAGACATGATGTTCTTGACGTGGGAAAGGAGTATGGCCTTGTCAAATCTCGAGGTTCTGTAAGGCCTGATGGATGGGCTTATCGATTCCCAAGTTCCAACACTACCATCCTTTACTACTGGTCTGCAAGTCTCTGTGACTTGGAGCCCATCGACCCCTCTAATCCTGCCACTAATTTCGCTATGCACTTGGATCGTCCTCCAGCATTTTTACACCGTTTCCTTCACAAATTTGATGTTCTTGTTCTGAACACGGGACACCACTGGAATAGAGGGAAACTTAATGCCAACCGGTGGGTCATGTACGTTGGGGGTTTGCCTAATACCAATAGGAAGATTGCAAGTATTGCGGGTGCAAAAAATTTTACAGTTTACAGTATTGTAAGATGGGTGAACTCACAGCTTCCAAAATATCCAGGTCTGAAAGCGTTTTTCAGGTCAATATCACCAAGGCATTTCTTCCATGGAGATTGGAACACGGGAGGTACTTGTGACAATACTACCCCTCTATCTGGTGGGAAGGAAGTTTTACAAGACGAGTCTTTCAGGGTGTAATTATGCCAAAGGTAAATGGGTCATAGATGATAGTCGACCCCTATATTCTGGCCTTGGTTGTAAGCAATGGTTGTCTTCAATGTGGGCTTGCCGCCTGACACAACGTACAGATTTTGAATACGAGAAACTACGTTGGCAACCCAAAGAATGTAGAATGGAAGAATTCATGGGATCTAAGTTCCTGAAGAGGTATATATTAGATTTTCTTACAATGTACAATATTTGTTTTGGGGAACTTAAAATATCTGGAGAGTTTGCATTGTTGTGGCACCAACCATGTTTATTCCCTGTAACTGAATATTTTTTTCATGCCCATTCCTTAGAATATTGATTTTTTATTTATTTTTAAATAACAATTGCAGGATGCAGGACAAAACTCTGGCATTTATTGGCGATTCATTGGGCAGACAGCAGTTCCAGTCACTGATGTGTATGGTAACAGGCGGTAAAGAGAGACATGATGTTCTTGACGTGGGAAAGGAGTATGGCCTTGTCAAAGCCCATGGTTCTGTACGGCCTGATGGATGGGCTTATCGATTCCCAAGTTCCAACACTACCATCCTTTACTACTGGTCTGCAAGTCTCTGTGACTTGGAGCCCATCGACCCCTCTAATCCTGCCACTAATTTCGCTATGCACTTGGATCGTCCTCCAGCATTTTTACACCGTTTCCTTCACAAATTTGATGTTCTTGTTCTGAACACGGGACACCACTGGAATAGAGGGAAACTTAATGCCAACCGGTGGGTCATGTACGTTGGGGGTTTGCCTAATACCAATAGGAAGATTGCAAGTATTGCGGGTGCAAAAAATTTTACAGTTTACAGTATTGTAAGATGGGTGAACTCACAGCTTCCAAAATATCCAGGTCTGAAAGCGTTTTTCAGGTCAATATCACCAAGGCATTTCTTCCATGGAGATTGGAACACGGGAGGTACTTGTGACAATACTACCCCTCTATCTGGTGGGAAGGAAGTTTTACAAGACGAGTCTACCGATCATCTTGCTTCAGGGGCAGTGAATGGAACGGGTGTTAAGCTGTTGGACGTAACAGCGTTATCTGAGCTTAGGGACGAGGGTCACATATCTCGTTACAGCATTAAAGCCACACCTGGAGTGCAGGATTGCTTGCATTGGTGTTTACCAGGTTTACCTGATACCTGGAATGAGATTCTGTTCGCCCAACTATAGTTAAGCAAAGCTAACGACTGATATGAAACATTTCCGACCCCGTTCAATGAAATATTCAGGTGATAGATTACGTGATAGAAATTGCGTTCCAAACTCAAAAATACTTCATAGAATAAAATTTTTGATACTAAAACATAGGCTATTTTTCTCCAGTTAGGTGATTAGAAATGAGAAAAGGGGGAAACTAGTGGAAGGTCCCTAAATTATAGTCTGTATCTCATTCACGTTCTATTTTATGACTTCTGTACTTGATGAATATGCAAATTAAAACAACATTTTAACATTTGTGTTACCAAATTTTGCAAAGAAGCTTTAGTTATGTGAGGCCATGTAACATGACTATGTTCATGTTGTACCCCAGAGAATTCGAATCCTCCCAAATCAAGACAGGTTCGATGAATAGAAGATATAAGTATGATAATAAATACATGGTTGATCGTTTAACTTATCTTAAAAACATGTCGTGGATCATTCATGTGGACTGACCCGGCAAGATACTAAAAATGTAGTATTGACTCTATTGAGATAGGATAGATATGAATGTCCCGAAATGGGGAAACTTGTATAAGAAACTGAATCTAAACTAGAAAGCGCTTGAAGCCATATTTTTTGCTGGAAAACTCACAAATCTTGGAACTTATATTGTGGATAATGATCTCCTTAAATTGTTATCGAGATTGAGAACGTAATAGTGCAATAAAATGTACATTTTGGAGCATGAAAAAGTATGGTGATTCAACATGAAAATTTTGAAAATTTATTATTTTTCATGTAAGAATTCTTGATTTGAATCTTATGTTTAGTGTTACACCTCTTATGAAGAGCCTTCAGATTGTTACTAACATGCAGCTAACTGAGCAAGTCAGCAATCCATGTCACCTCGCACCACCGAAGTGTCGAGGTGAGATAGACTACTTGCACATCTGTGGGCTAGATTGAGGCCCCGAAGTGATACACCTCGGAATGATATACGTAGAAGTAGTAAAAGGTGGAATAGTGTTGCTAGAGAAATATCAGGTCGCCTCATGTATATTAAAAGGGGGATCTTTTATACAAAGATCTAGTAAAAATATGATCCACACGATTGATTGATATAATGTTTGTGCAGCAGACGTCAAAAGGATAAGTCACAAAATCCACTCATCAGGGAGCATTAAATGCCCGCTCACCTAAGAACTGATTGAATGAACCTAGGAGGGGATGCCTCGACTAGCGGATGCAGCCACGTGTCCCTCCATTCACACACTCAAATCTGCCTCTTCCCCAATAAATACTCACACTTATTTCTATTTCATGGTTAATGCAATCCTATACACTTAAAACATACGCTTTATTTTATTATCTTGAAGTTAAAGTATGTTGTTTCCTTTCTTCTCCAATACAAACTAACTTGACCGTCGAAAAGTACTTGAGTGCAATAAAATGTACATTTTGGAGCATGAAAAAGTATGGTGATTCAACATGAAAATTTTGAAAATTTATTATTTGTCATGTAAGAATTCTTGATTTGAATCTTATGTTTAGTGTTACACCTCTTATGAAGAGCCTTCAGATTGTTACTAACATGCAGCTAACTGAGCAAGTCAGCAATCCATGTCACCTCGCACCATCGAAGTGTCGAGGTGAGATAGACTACTTGCACATCTGTGGGCTAGATTGAGGCCCCGAAGTGATACACCTCGGAATGATATACGTCGAAGTAGTAAAAGGTGGAATAGTGTTGCTAGAGAAATATCAGGTCGCCTCCTGTATATTAAAAGGGGGATCTTTTATACAAAGATCTAGTAAAAATATGATCCACACGATTGATTGATATAATGTTTGTGCAGCAGACTTCAAAAGGATAAGTCACAAAATCCACTCATCAGGGAGCATTAAATGCCCGCTCACCTAAGGACTGATTGAATGAACCTAGGAGGGGATGCCTCGACTAGCGGATGCAGCCACGTGTCCCTCCATTCACACACTCAAATCTGCCTCTTCCCCAATAAATACTCACACTTATTTCTATTTCATGGTTAATGCAATCCTATACACTTTAAAACATATGCTTTATTTTATTATCTTGAAGTTAAAGTATGTTGTTTCCTTTCTTCTCCAATACAAACTAACTTGACCGTCGAAAAGTACTTGCAATCACCTCAACCACCACCGGAAAAGGCCACGAGTGACTAATGGTTTGCTCCCATGAGCAGGAAGTTATCTACGTAGAATATATACCTGCTGGCCACATTATCCCTACGGAAGTTGAGGTCAACATCCGACACGACGTATATTCTTACATTCTAACTGTGGAAGCTTTAGAATGAGGTAATGTAACAAATACAAGAACGAAACATCGTCCTTCACCCCAATATTGCTTCTAGGGAAGAATAGAATGTCTTTTTAAAAGTTAGTCATCTCAAGAGATATCTTTATAGTTATATCTATTAGTTTTGTTTGTATGAATTTTCATTCCTTTTGCGGTAATCACATCCCTCATTTTCCGGTGGTTCGAGTAGGGCTTCAGCCACGGTCAACACACCTCTTAACAGGTAGTTCGACTTTTTTTTTATTATTATTATTATTGTTTCACTATATAAATAATCATATAATATATATTCAAGCATAATCATTGAACTGATCAATTGAAAGATTTTAAGTTTTATACGTTATCGATAAGTAAAGTGAAAATAATTGGAGCCAATTGAATTCACTATTTCTCCTCAAAATAATCTCTCTCTCTCTCTCTCTCTCTCTCTCAAGCAATTTTTTTCCATAATAGTGGGAATTTCATTCCTACGGGAGGGGCATCTCAATCACACAGAAAATAGTGAATAAAACTTCTAGTTTTATCATCGAACTTTGACACAAACTTTGGAAAAAAATTTTACTAATAAAAATAGGGGGGTTGAGGGATGGGGGGAATCATATTGTTCGAAAAAATACTTTATGGAACGTGACCTTTCATCCAAAGTCAAGGCCTTTCATAAAGATTGAAATTTTTAAGAAAAATGTCCGAGTTATTTCATGAAAATGTGAAGAAAGGGAGCAACTTTTAAAACGGGAAACATAACAATTTAATCAAAAGTTCTTTTTTAATTAAAAAGACATAATCAATAAATGCATAGATTTAAATTTTGTAAAATTCAAATCTCTTCCTCTCAAAATAAATGTAAATTATTAATTCGGACCTTTCCTTTTCCTACATTATTGCAATCCCAAATGGTTCGTGTAACATCAATGTGAATGACAACTGGAACGACCCAAACGATAAGCCCTCCTTAGAAGAAAAAAAATGTAACAATGACTGCACATTGACATTTGTCCTCACCATCAATGTCTAATGATGTCCACATATCACTTCGTGTCGGAAAATTTTGGCGACTACAAAACGTGAATTTTTTCAATTAGTTTGGAATAAACTATACTTTATTTATCGCATTCTTGACTATAATGAGATCATTAATTTATTGACGATGGACATCAAGAAATTGAGGAGAAGATATCAGAACAAAAGATAATGACGATATAAAGGAAAGTCTTCAATGAGACCAAGAACACCTAAAACGTATCAAACAAATCCTCAATTTTGTATTACAACAACTGACTTGTTTGATTCTATTTAGAAATTACTTTTTAAAAGTAAATATCGTAGTTAAAAGAATAATTTCAGAAATCATGTTTAACAAAATAAGCAACTTAAAAATAAGGATAAATTTCAAAAACCTCCGTTGAGGATTATTACCTATGATTTTGAGGGCCCTCAATTAAACAAGTCTACGGTCCTAGTTTGCCATCTTATCTTCCTTGATCTCTTCCAATTTCCTGCATTTAGTATCGTCGCTGAAAGTTGTTGGGAGTTGATCATTGATTAAAAGTGAACAACATAAAGGACTCGACTTTAGATTTTCATCACCTCTAAAAATCCTGATTGTTTAAGAGATAAATCTTATATCAAATAAAGATAAAATATATATATGGTTGATCTTTTAACTTATTTAAAATATATGCCATTGGTCGTCCATGTGGATTGACCCGACCAGCAAGATACTAAAGATGGTTTGGAGGCAATAGTTTGAACTCATATTCAAACCCTCAACTTCCTATAGCCTCTCTACATGTGTTGTATTGAGATAGAAGAGAAATGAATGGCCTGAAATGGAGAAACCTATATAGGAAACTGCATATAAAAATAGAAAGGTCTTAGAACCATATTTTTTGCTAGAGAACACACATACTTTGTGGATATTGATGTGCTTTAATTGTGATATATTGATGTCCTTTAATTGTGATCGAGATCGAGAACGTGAAAGTGCAATAAAATGAAGTTCTGAAGCATCAAAAAGTAAGGTTTTTAAACCATGAAAATTTTGAAAATTCATATTTTTTAAGTAAGAAATTCTTGAATTGAAACTTACGTTCGAGCATGGTGCGTATTCTTTCATTCTCTAACGGTGGAAGATTGCGGTTGAGGTGATTTAACAAATACGAGGACAAAATACTCCTCCATCATCCCAATATTGCTTCTAGATAATAGAATGTCTTGTTATAGTTAGTTATCTCGAGGTGTCTTTATAATTATCTCAAAATTGTATTGACACGAAGATCCAATGAACTTGCACTCTAAGAAATTTGTTTGCAATGCCTAGGTTTGTCAATCGGGGCAGCCAACTGCCACAAGGCGACTCATCCCTCATTTTCTGTGGTTCGGGCAAGGCTTCGGCCTCGGCCAATACACCTCTCAACCGGCAGTTCTACTCTTTCAGTTATTTTAATGCTATATTAATATGATAATTTATAGAACAATTTAGCTTACAATTTTCTAATGATTTGTTGAACCTCATTTTGTTAAGATTGCAAAGTTCAATTTATAATTTTGTTTCAATCAAATAATTTTTTTTCTAAATCCATTAAAAATAGTGATGCGGCAAAGAATGGTTTGTTGAGCCTCATTCTATTACGATTGCATAGTTCAATTTCTAATTTTGTTTCGATCAGGTAACTTTTTTTCTAGATCCATAAAATATAGTGACGCGGTAATTAATATTTTGTGTTTAACCAGCTTGAGATCGGCCATTAACGTAACCAGAGTTAAAATTGTACTAAAATAAACTATTATGTGTACATTTCTAGAAAAAGAAGGATTAATATAGTAAAATACTCTCGTCAAAATTAAATACTATAATACGAAAATAAGCAGCCGCAGCTGGCACTTGGCAGCCTGTTAAAAGCTACAAAAGCATCTTTCAACAAAGTTGGGCTAGTCGTGCGGATAAAAGGCTTGGCCCATATACGAGGTGGACCATGGGC